TTTTAGAGAAATTTTATGTTTATAGAAATATTGAGCAGGAAGTATAGAAAGTCCCCATAGTCACATTTCTGCTTCCTCCTCCATTGGTCCTTTTTGAATTTGTGATTCTTATTTGACCTAAGACTCATGTTATGCATGAGCTACAAGATAGGGCTCTGAACACATTAAGAGAGTGGGTGTGTGTGTTCATGAATAGTGCAAGGAGAAGGTCTCATTCTCTCATTAGATTCTCAGAGGATGTCTAATCTGAAAAAAGAAAAAAAAAAGATGAACTTTAAGGATTACTGTTCGAAGAGAATTTGTACTACTCTAACCCACAGTTTGCCTCACTTTTTTTTAATGTGGTGAACGTTCCTGCTTATATTAATATTTGTAACTGGATTGGTATGTGAACATAATTTAAAAGAGTGCCTTTGTAAAGGTTTGCTACCGCCTTTGTCCGCATGCTGTTGGGTAGAAGCTAACTCCCTTCCTCCCCTGCCCATCAACCTTCTCAAATGGGCACACGAGCTACATTAGTGATGAGCCCGCTGCCTCTCCATGCTAGCAGGCTGTTCCCAAAGCCTTGTTTTATTCTTCTGAAGGCCGAGTTTCCTCCTTATACACTTTCCTGAAGCTTGAGGGCATGGGAATTGGACAGTGACTGGAGTTAGAATCTAGATCTCATAGCCAGCCAGTAGATTGCTTGAGCCCACATAACTCCTTAGGTGCTCTTCACCTAAGTGTGAATGGTGACAGGAAACATCCTGAGTAAAAAGGAAGGGTGCTAGGTCTTCCTGAAGGGGTGGGGAAATGGGTGCAGATAGCTAAGTCAGTTCAAAGTTGAGCTGTTCAGTTTGGTGATAGGTTCAAGGTTTAGTGATGTTTTATTGACATTGTTTATCTCTGCTTCATCTTCATAAACAATTTCAGTTATCTAAATGAAGTTTATTCTCTCTGTAGGTGTGTGCCCAGAGAATGCACGGAAGTTTTTTTTCTAGGTTTCTCTTGAGTTTTTTATGAAATTATGGTGAAATATAGATAATATGAAGCTTTTTAAACAATTTTTAAACTGTACAATTCTATGACATTTATTATTATGTGACCATCACCACTGTTTCTAATTACTTTTCATCAACCCAAAAAGTATCTCAGTATCCATTAAGCAGTATCTCCCACAGATTTTACTGTAAATTTGCACACAAAATAAAGAGATTTTGCTGCAGTACCTCCAAATGTAGACAAGTTCAGAATGTTTGCTGCTTTAGATTATTCTCACAGCTGCCTTCACCTTGGCTCTTCTCAGTAAATGATTTTGATATTCATATCCTTTTCCTTTCCAGGTGTAATAATGAAACTTCTTGGACAACTTTGGCCAACAATGTCTCAAACGATGTCCTCACCGAAATCTACACCTTAGGCAGGAGTACCGTGGAAGGCCGAGTGACTTTCACTAAAGTGGAGGAGACTTTTGCAGTTCGATGCCTGGCTAAGAATCCCCTGAGGATTGAGAACCGGGAACTGAAGCTGGTGGCGCCCAGTGAGTTGTCCATTAGTCAGAACAGCTTTGTCTCCCTCAGGTGGAGCTGGGAATCTCAGATAGGGTCAGACAGGAATGGAAGTCCCCCAGCAGACAGTCAGTCTGCTTCTCTGGGCCTTCTCTGGGCATTCATGTTCCCAAATTACATCTTACAGAGGCTTCTTGGCATTTTGCTTGTCTGGTTATATACTTACCTCAGCTCTTTAGTTGAAGCATTAGGTGTGTAGGGAAGGAGGATGGGGAAGGAAAATCTCCTCTGTTGTTGTCCTGGTCAACAGTTGAAACAGGTGGAATTCTTCGAAAGAAAAAAAATCTCCGGAAAAGTCAAAAGTAGTATAAAGAAAATCCAGCCTTTCAAAATAATAAAGCTTAAAGTAAACGTTTCTGAACTGAATTAAACCAGTTACCATAGCATCGACTCTTAACTCATGATAACCCCGTGTGTGTCAGAGTAGAATGTGCTCCATAGGGTTTTCAGTGGCCGCTTTTCCCTAGGTACATTGTCGGGTCTTTCGTCCAAGGTACTTCTGGATGGACTGGGCCCTCCAGCCTTTTGATTAGCTGCTGAGCACCTTAACCATTTGTACCTTCTGTACCTCCTCTGGACTCCTGGTGTGGTGCTGTAGGATCAGCACTGATCTGAGAACCAAAAGGTCAGTGGTTCAAACCCACTAGCTACTCCTCAGAAACCCTTTACACAGTCCATATGAGGCAGAACCTCTGAGCATATGTTATTGTAGTTACTAAGTGCCACCCAATCGGTTTTGACTCATAGTGACCTTACATAGGATTTCTAAGGAGTGGCTTGTGGATTTGAACTATGGACCTTTGGTTAGCAGCCCAGTGCTTATCCTATGGTGCTACACCAGGACTCCCTCTGAGCTTATAGTAGCTACTAATCTTATTTGTCAGTCTTCACTGCTCTAATTTACATTTTGTTCCAAAGGTTAATTTTGGATCATGTTGAGAGGAAGGATTTGCGGTCCCCTGATTTTTCTTAACCTTTTCTAAAGGAAGGGTGAGAGTAGATGCTTCATGTGTATAGATGTTTGAAAGATGGATCACCTGTCTCTTAGTGATGATCCCACTGCCCTCGCATTTCCCCACTGACAGTGAGAGACGTCTGGCCCAAACCTGGTCACCATCTCCCCATCCCACCTCTCATGAGGAAATTCCCATCATGCCCTTCTCTTACCTCTAGCTCTGCGTTCTGAACTCACAGTGGCGGCTGCAGTCTTGGTGCTCTTGGTGATTGTGATCATCTCACTTATTGTCTTGGTCGTCATTTGGAAACAGGTAAGATGTTTTCTCAATACACTCAAGTATCTTTAAAGTCCCCCGAGAACACGAAGAAGAGCAGCTAGGTTAAGGCTGGGCACAGACGAGTATATTTTATATGTTGAGTGAATGTTGACTCTTTCTGTATCCACACACACATTGCTGCTGCAATTAATTCAGCTTGGATGCATTTGATCTTTGGTAACCAACTCACCAGTTATCTGTCTTGGTCTTTTATAGAAACCAAGGTATGAAATTCGTTGGAGAGTCATTGAATCAATCAGCCCTGATGGACACGAATATATTTATGTGGACCCCATGCAGCTTCCTTATGACTCGAGATGGGAGTTTCCAAGAGATGGACTGGTGCTTGGTAAGCTATTTGGATGATCTTCCAAGACCACCCCCCCGACTCCCACCCACGTTAAAAATATCTTATTGTGTTTTTGTTGAAGGTTTATCTAGCAGTTTATGTTTCCACTCTAGAATTTCTTCATTAATTTGTTTAGTGACATTAGTTCCATATTCACAATGTATGAACATTTCCATGCAGGCTGTTCTGGTTTTATAGTCTAGTTTCCCTGACCGCTTACATTCTCATCTTTGTTTTAAAGTAATTGTTAACCATCTTATAGATGATTTTTTAAAGGAACACACTATTCACAGGTATTATTTATTTTATGAGCCAATCTGTTATTTACCCAAAAGGTGACCTCAGGAGCTAATTTCAGTTCAAGCATTAAAGAGTTTCTTAGGGCAATAGTCTTGGGGAGTCCTCTAGTCTCATCTGGTCCAATAAGTCTGTACCACAATTTGTTTATCCATTCTTCAGTTGATGGGCACTTTGGTTGTCTCCATCTTTTTGCTATTGTAATAGTGCTGCTATGAACATTGGTATGCATATATCTTCTCGGATTGTGGCTCTTTTTTCTTGTG